ATTGCTCGGAGTCGGCGACTTGGCGTGATTTGGGGGATTTGGAGATCGAATCTTGATCTCAAATTTCGTAAATTTTGGGTTTTCTGGGGGGTTTTTGCAATTTTTCCAAGGCCTATAAATAGTGGAGAGGTTTTCCCCAAAACCTCACAACACGCTTTTGCCTCTCTCAATCGCCCGAAACCCTCATATTTTCAATCGCCGACTCCCCAGTTCTCAAACTTAAAGTCGTCGATTGCCCTCATGTCTTCCCCCGATTCCCCATTGAAGGAAAGCGAAACGTCAGCTTTTATAGCTGAGCTGATAACTGACAACCTGGATGAGGCGTTGAACACCGTTGAGTCGCCTATTCCCTCTCCTGACAGAGAGGATGAGTCGGCGACTCCGGTCGTTTCGCCTCATGGATTGGAGCTGAGTGCCATCGTGCACGAGCTACTTGGCGCCTCGCCAGTGTCGGCGACTCCCCTTGTGGAGTCGGCGACTAAGAGCCGGGCCCTTGTAGTCGTACGGGAGCCTCCTAAGCTGGGGGAAATTCCCGTGGCCTCTGTGTCGGCGACTCCCATCGTGGAGTCGGCGACTCATGCAGGCCCTGTTAAAGGGAAAGCCTTCAAGCGAAGGGGGCAGGGCTCAGCTGCCATTGGGTCGGCGACTGCTGGCCACGCCTCACCGATTCCTGTCACAGGATCGGTGACTTGTGTGCTGGAGTCGGCGACTCCTATGAGTATTGATGACTCTTCCGCGTACTGCACCGCACCATTGGTCGTGAGCGCGGAAGGCCGAATCGTGTCGGGACTGAACCCGAACCAAGGTCCTTCTCTGAAGAGAAAGAGAAGGCGTACCACTGGGAAGGGCAAAGTACGCGTGCCCGAAGAAGATGAAGGGGTCCCTATTCCCTTGAACATAAATTTCGAGGAGACCCTAACTGTGGACCGTGGCGCACCCAATCCACGACGACGAGCGGGCCGGCGCTCCGAAAGAACTCCGCCACCTCCCGTGGACCTGAATGCTAGTCGAGACCCGGACCTCGACTTAAACACATATGTTGGAGCTTTGAACCCCTCTGGGTTCGCTCATTGTGAAATCGCCTTGAATGGCGTGACAAGGTTGCTCCCTGTCGGCCGTTCTGGGGACGGCGAATATGAAGAAGTTATGACTCATGCAACCTTGGATGGGTCTGATGGAGTGAATCCCCCCTCCAATTTGAATGCGAGCGACGCTCGATCATTACTATCGGGGATTCAATTGTCTGGTCACATGCGATTCTGGGTGTCGCGGTACCAGCCAATCAATCTGCCACCCCCGGGGTTCCAGGCCATCCCGAGGGTCTACTTCAAGCACTTCTCCGAGCTACCAATTCCGGAGATCATTAGCGAAGTGCTTTTGACATTCGAAGTGTCCCTGTCGTAGCTCCCGGCGGGATTCTTTGTGATCCTGCGGGGCTTTATGAACATCTGCTGGGGGCTGAATATTGCTGCGACGGCGAGCTTGTTCTTGTACTTCTACAAGCTCACCAAAGAGAAGTCTGCATCCGGTCGTTTTGGGTTCACGCGACGACATTTCGACAAGAACATCGTCGATGAGCTCCCGACGAACTTCGGATCCAACTGGAGAAAAGAGTTCATATTCATCACTTCTGAATTTCTTCCCGGGAGTCGGGAAATGTGGAATGACCCCAATCGAGTGCATATGAACGCCTCGATTGAGCTGAGTACGAGGGATATAGAAGCCTCGGATTGTATAGCGCGTACGCTGACAGCCTATTCTGTGCCGCGCGGTGTTCCCTTTGTCCTTTGCCAAAGGGAAGACTTCACTTTTGATGATGTTGAAGATGCACATGAACCACCCACTGAGAGAGAGTTGGAAGGTGGTCAGAGGCGATCCATTCTATATCATGACGCTGCACCTCTGTATATGCGCAAGAGGTTCCGCGCGGGCAAGCTGATAAGATTGCGACAGAAGAAGACTTCTCGCAGCGAGCCTCGCCGGACCTTTGAGCATGGGTCAAGCTCTCGCTCTGCACCACCTCCTCCCAGGGGCTATGAGCCTTATACTTCTGCTGGAGTGACACTTCCTGACTTCATGGCTAGTACTGAAACTAGAAGGGAAGCGATGTCACTCCTCTTGGGGCATCCTGGGACTTGGTGTCGGAGTGAGTTGTTGAAGCATATGAATGCCGCATGTTACATGGCACATGCTTGTTATCATGGAGACTCTATCCATGACGTCGAGAAGATACAAGAAAAATACAATCAACTCGACGCAAAGTTCAGAGAAAGCGAGAAGGCTCTCGATAAGCTGAAGAACGTGAAATCGAGAATGGAGAACCTTCGCGACAACATTCTGCCCAAGAAGGATAAAACTATTGAGTCCAAGCAGAAAGAGATTGATGACTATGTCGCAAAGATCTTGGCACTCCGAAAAGATCTGAAAGCTGCTAGTTCTGACCGTGTTAAGGACACTGAAGATCTGAAGAGCCAGCTAGCTAGTGAAAGAGGGCACGTAGCCTCTCTTGAGGCTACGATAGTGGAGTTAAAGAAGCAAGCTGCTCAGAGCCAACGAGAAACTACTGAGCTAAAAAGCGAGCTCGCGAGTGCGGAAGAAGAGGTTCTGACTCTGAAAGATGACAATGCCGCACTTGCTGGGAGAGCTGCTGGGTTGGATTTGGATGTACGTTACCAATCCGACCAGCTTCAAGAGCTCATATTCTTTGGTCCTTCCGTGTATCCCGCTCTACCCCCCGACTACATCACGAACATAATGGCGTGGATAGAGCAACATCCTGAGGAGCTCGAGAAGAATAAAGAGGCTCTCGACAAGATGAAGGACGAAGCTGCACAAGATTAGATCTAAGTCCTTATTTTGTAAACTTTTTGTTATCTTTTTTTGTAATCTGAAAATTTTAATGAAATTAACCTTTTTGACTTTCTATTGAGTTGTTCATTTATTTTATTCCTTTGAATTGTAACTAAGACCCGAAACTAGATTCGCGAGTCGTAATTTAGCCGCTCTGGACGTAAATTAGACTAACCCTATTGCTAGCCACTCTAGGCGTAGACTTGGTCGTACGAATCATAGCTCAGTCCGTGTTGCTGTACGTGATGTTGCTGTACGTTGTCCGTGTGCCAGATGCAAGGACTTTTGGGTGACAGCTTATTCCTATTCCTCTTGGTTATGCTAGCCCTCTTGTTGGTCTACCATCAAATAGCATATGGATGGTTTTCCGTGGGTGGTCCTCGCTATTGTCACTGTCTGGTGAGGGAGAGCGTGGGCGCTTCCCATTCACGTCAGACTTGCAATTGTTTCGATCCCGGGATACTTTGACCAGGCTGTCAAGTTCGCCGTTCGAAATTAATTGCTCGACATAAAGCGAGAATTCCCTGCAATAGTCTGTCAGATGGCCGTGGTCCTTGTGGAATTCACAGAATTTTCCACTTTTCTGGCGGCGATCCTTGGTTGCAGGGTCCATAGAGCGAGGAGCGGGCAGATCCGCTATGTTCCTCAGTTTTTCAAACAGCTCGCCTTTGCTGATTGTTAGTGGGGTCCGGTTCCTCCAAGGTTGAGGTGGACCCCTTGGCGATCGTTTGACGGATGTTTGATACACTTTGTTATCATGTTTAGGCTTCCAATCCTTTCTGAAGGAATCAGCCGCATTGCTAGTGTATCTGTTCGAGGAGTCTTTGTAGCTCTTTCTCTCGAACTTTTGTTTTTTGAAGCTAGTGTTCTCGAGTTCCACTAGCTTGTTTTCATTCTGCTCTTTCACCTCAATGAATAACTGCGCTCGTTGGAAGAGGTCGGGTAAGGTCTCCACTTTGTGGAGTGTGAGATTCAGGGCCAGAGGGGAGTAGGGTACCAGCCCGTTTGTGTACCCCGCGATGGCCAAACTTGGGATTAAGTCGCTCACTTCTGTCATCATTAAAGTGAACTTAATCGTGTAATCCCTTAAAGACAGTTTGTCCTGTCGTAGCGCCAGTAGTGCATTGGCGCTGTGTTTGATCCTGATCATCCCCACGTGTTGGGCGATGAATTTGGATGCGAGGTCTGCAAAGCTGGAAACTGATCCGGCTGGCAGACCAGAAAACCATCGATAGGCATTGCCCTTAAGAGTGCCAGGGAATGCTCGACACAGCAGTGCGTTATCAGTGGTTTGACGTGATCTTGCGGATCACTCGAACCATCGTACGACTCTATTCTGGGTACCCGCCAGGTTGGTGGAAAGGCCACCTTCAAAAGGTCCTCTTGGAAAGGAGCGCTTTTGACTCTTAAGAACTCGATCGGATTGCTGATGACTAGAGTGTCATCCAGCTTCCGACATAGGTCCTCTATGAATCGTAGTGTAAGAGTCCTATCAGTGCGACTCTTACTGGGTCCAGCTCTTGATTTTTCTGGCTCTGGACCTTTCTTTTTCTCCGTAGTTGGAGAATTGTGAGAAGCCGATTCACACGCTCTCTTGCGGGTGATGGCTCTCTGACTCCTTGCTTTTTCAAGGTTGCTAACTCTTCTTTCAATGTTATCCATGAAGTTAACCAACCTTGCTTCTAGATTAGGAGAGATGGATGTCCGAGGGGGCAGATCAGTTTGGGCATCCTCGAACCTTTCAACTTGTATGTTTGGTTGTGGATGCTCAGCTTGTGCCTCATCGGGTACCACTGAGGATTTACCCTTGTTTCTCAGATGGTAATCGTGCTTTTGCCTTTCAGATGTCATAGATGACAAAAGCGAATTCCAACCGGAGCGTAGGTATTAATTGGACTAACTCAAAAGAAACCCAGTGGAGTCGGCGACTCAGCAGGTGGAGTCGGCGACTGGCCTTAGGTTTTCTTGACTTTCGAGCTGAGCAGAGGTTCGAGAAAAAACCAAGTGGAGTCGGTGATTCACTATGGTAGTCGGCGATTCACAAAGGTGGAATCGGCGACAGACACTAGTGGAATCGGTGACTGCTTTAGGTAGTTTTTCCTTCGAGTCTGGCCGTCGTGGGTTCGAGTCGGCCACTAGTGGAATCGGTGACTGCTTTAGGTAGTTTTTCACTATGGCTTTTAACCATGTGGTCGTGGGTTCGAGTCCCACAGACGGCGCCAGCTGATGAAGCACGAAATCTGCTACCAGTAGGCTCGCGGGGTTGCGAGGAGGGCCGGAGGCTTTGGAGTCCACGACGCACGCTTTACGTCAATGTACCTGCAGAAGAGGAGGGGAATCGGCGACTCTCTTGGGAGTAGGCGATTCGGGCTCCAAGTATTGCTCTGGTTGGTGTGTGTCAAGTGGGAATGACCTGAGGGTAGAGGTCCCCCAAGGACCCCTTTTATAGGGTCCTGGGGGACGTTTCCCCATTCATTAGCGTGGGACCCACCCCATTAAGGTATCCTATTAAGGAGTGCCTTAATGACGTGGGCCCACTCAAGTAACGGCTGGGAGTCGGCGATTCAGGTGTGGGAATCGCCGATCCAGAGGTTTAATCGCCGACTCCCCATGAGCCCAGTGGCAGCCTACCAGAACTGTCCACGAGGCCTAGAGTCAGCGATTCACCCCTGGAGTCGGCGACTTGGTAGTCCCAATCGGCGACTCCCAGGTGCTGCCTTGAGTACTTGACATAGACACTCCTTCCGAATTCGTGGAACTCTCCGGGGGTCCGACATAAAGCGACGGAACCCTAGTCCTTGTCGAAGGGCGTTGCTGGAAGTGACTGACGTGATCAGGCATGTCTCACCACTTATCTTTGTATAAATTCAAACTTGAATAGTGTTTTGTCCCCTTGGAATATTATACTTTGAATAAAGTGTCAAAAAATAATAATAATAATATTCAAGGTAAAAATGCAATTATTCCAAATAATAATATTCAAGCTAAAAATACAATTCTCCCAATTTGACTTTTAACTTTGACTTAAACCCTTAACTCAAATGATTAATTAATTAACTGGAGTTAGGTTTAATATCGATTGACTTATTTAACCCCTATTGATTAATAGTGTAATTAGGGTTTAAATTGACATAATTAAAATATAATCCTATGTCGACAATTTTGATTCTACATTCTCCCCCTTTGTCGATGTCATATATGTTTTAATTCATGTCTAGTCAATATTCTATTTTTCCTTTATGAGCATGCTCCCCCTGAATTATTGACCCATAATATTCAATTTAAAAACCGTGGATCATGCATGATTTCTCCCCCTTAAAATAATAAGGTATCGACAAAGTTAAAAATAGATACCTGTGAAGTATCTCCCCCTTAATGATAGGACATATCTAATTTATGGTGAAAATAAAACTTCATACCTTATTGAGTCTTGATCACAAATTTGATTTGTGTGGTTGACCAAATGTGACTTCTTGCTTATAAGAGTGTTAGTCAATCATAAAGGAGAAATAACATGTAATTTATGCTCATGGATAAAATATTGGATTGAAGCCAATTTTGATATACATTATAAGGCAAGTATGATATGATAATTTAAATTGTCTTGTGTTAAGATCATGCAATGAATAATAATCCATGTGTGTGTTATGGATGAAGATGATCTTAATATGTATGAATTAAAGATTTTATAATGTTATAATCCATAAGATATTAGTGAATGATATGTATAAATCCATAATATTCACTAATTGCTTTAAGAAGAAATTGAGCATTTAAAATTTTAAAATCTATGTGACAAATATAATCATGTAAATATTCACTAAGTTTTAAAAGATTTAAAATGTTCATTTCAGTCCTTAAAGCCTAGTAGTAAAACTTCACTTAAAACAAACTTTCATTTAAGCCCTTTGAAGTTATGATAAATACTTAGATTAATACTTGAAATATTTCATTTAAACCTTGGAGTATTAACTATTTCTAAGCACTTTTTGGTGAGAGAGGATCTCGCATCCTGGGACATCACCAAAAACCCACATCCCAGGACGCAAAGAGGGGGGGAATACTAATAGTTAAAGGTCCAGCACACAGACCATAGTACTAAAAGACGTATCCCAAAGTATCTAATACGCAGAGGAGGGGGGAGTACTGGTGATACAGTATCCCGAACCCGGTCACAACCTACCAGCAACTAGAAGTCCGGATAGCCTAAGATGAGTTAAGGTACCTATTCTAGGGTTGGGGAGGTCCCAAGTCGAATCCTAGGAAGATCGACTTTCCTGAGGATCGACTTCCCTGGGATCGACTTCTGAATAAAGTCGATCACCAGGAAAGTCGATCCCCAGAAAGTCGATCTTGGGCCCCGATCTGATCAGTTAGGCAGTTAGGCGGTTACTGCCCAAATGACTAGATTACCCCCATAAGAACCCCTATAAATAGGAGGCATCCCCCACTCATTGAAGGCAGGTCATTTGGAGCGAAAGGATTCCTAGCGAAGCAGAGCTCTGCGCACTTGAGTTCCGGTCCGGTTTCCCGCGGAGTTCCCCGCTTGGCGCTTGCTTGCGCGTCTTGGAGTACTGGTCGGGTTTCACCCCCATCAGTTGACGCCGTCTGTGATTCAAAGATACTCACGACAAAAGCTCCTCGACTTTTTCGAAAAAAGTGATCGACTTTTTTCCAAGTCGCCAGCTAGGGAGTCCTGCGAGGAAATCAGCCAGCAAGGGATCGACTTTTTCAGAAGATCGACTTTTTTCTTCCAAGGGAAAAGTCGATTCCTCAAGAAGCTACGCTTTCAGGATACGACTTCCAAGGAATCCTCCAAGTGCACATGGGATCGACTTTTCTGAAGATCGACTTTATCCAAGCAAAAAGTCGAACACTTTTTTCTAAGAAAAGTCGAACACTCCAGGATGGTGGTAACACGGAGCACTTCCCAAGGAGGAGCAAATTCTCAGGAGGCGCCAGAGCAACAGCCTGGCAACTCAAAAACTAAAAGGCCAGTGGGTCGACCGCCCAAAGGCAACAAAAATAAAAGGACTCCCACAGGACCTGAGGCTGAACCCGAGGGTGAGCCTGAGCAAACTCCCCAAGCATCAGCAGGAGGGGAGAATCTGAACATCACAGTTCAAGAAATAGCTGAGGCCATCCGACTCCTTGCTGAAAAGGAGAAACCTTCGGAAGAACAGCCTCAGAAGGAGAAACCTGCGAGCAGCAAGGAACCAAGGGCTGCAGCATCAGAAACCACTCACGGGTTCGTAAAAATGCCCATAGAGGAACTGGAGAAGATAAAGGAGACCATAGCGAAAATGAGCGAGAAAATAAAGAATATTGAAAAATCCAAAACATCAATATTCCAGTCAAAAGCTCAGACCTCAAAGCAGGCCAAGGCGCAACAGGAGGTGTCAAGTCATAGGGCAGCACACTCCAACGCACCATCACCTCGCAGACCAGAGGAGCAACCTAAACCTCCTCCTAAAAAACCCGTATATGAAGAAAGCACGGGAGACACAGAAGGAGGAGGCGAGGTCCCAAACTGGCTAGTGGGCATGGATGCCCTGCATAAATCGCTGATGGTAAAACCAGCACCTCTGAAGTTCAGGCTACCCAGGCTACAGATCTATGATGGGAAGATGGACCCAGTAGACCACATAAATATGTTCGTAGGGGCAATGCAATGGGCTACATCAAGGGATGACATCCTATGTAGAGCATTCCCAGGAACACTGAAAGGACCTACATACAGATGGTTTGTCGAACTGCAGCCAGGGAGCATAACAAGTTTCGAGGACTTAAAAAAGAAGTTCATTGCCCAACATTGTGGAAACACAAGGGTCAGAAAGGGCACAGAATCACTGTTTGCAATCAAACAGAATGGAGATACGCTCCGGAATTACACAACCAAATTCACGGAAGCCATGCAAAAAATCTCCGACCTAAACACAACAATCGCAATATGCGCATACTCAAAGGGGCTAGACATGAACACACCGTTAGCAATAAAGCTAAATGTTAGTAATGTAAAATGCATGGAAGATCTGCTAAAAAAGACCCAGAAATATATAAATTCTGAAGAGTATGAGAAAGAAAAAGAAAAAGAAAGAGGTGTCATCAGCAACAAAAAGGCATATGAAGCACCAAAAAAGAAATTCCAGAAATTTGAGAAAGGAGAATCATCCTGGAGACCAAAACACGATGGAAAGGTCTACCAGACATCTGAGGAGTTTGGGAAACCAAGGTATCCTAAGTATAAAGACTTAGGATTCACGGTTTTCAGCACTCCAAAAGAGGAAATCTACAATAGAGAAAAAGGAAGAATAAGGTTTCCTCAACCAGAAGAGTTAAACCCTGCAACAAAAGAAGCTCGAACAAGAAGGAACAGGTATTGCAAGTTCCACAAGGATTACGGGCACAACACAGAAAACTGCAGGGAGCTAAGCACCTTCCTAGACACACAAGTGAAGGAAGGAAAGCTGAAACAATACATAAACAAAATAGAGAGGGGGCGACAAGGCTGCAAGGACCCAAAGAACAAGGGTAAGCGTCAACGCTCAAGAAGTCCCGATTCAGACACTGACCACAAAAGAAGGGTGATAAATTTAATCTTCGGTGGAGGATCAGTAGGAGAAAGCAGAAGTTACTCGCGCAAGGTGATGCAGACTACCACGGTACCAAAATCTAAGAAAAGATCGTACCCAAGCGAGGAAATAAGCTTCTCTGAGGAAGATCTGGACAACGTGGTCAGCCCACACGAAGATCCACTAGTAATACAAGTGGACATCGGGGATGATTTAAGTATGAATAAGGTAATGGTGGACAATGGAAGCTCAGTAGAAATATTGTACCTAGCTACATTCGAAAAAGTGGGCTACAAGGTGGACCAACTAACCCCGGCCAAGGAAGCCATTTATGGGTTCACAAACACAAAGGCCCCAGTAGTAGGTGCCATCGATCTACAGATATCCCTGGGAAAAAGAAACGTGAGAGTATCACGCACAACACACTTCATCGTGGTCAATATAGACTCACCGTTCAATGGGATCTTGGGCAGACCAAGCATTCACGGTTTCAAGGCAATACCGTCATCTTACCACCAATGCTTCAGGTACCCAGGAAAAGATGGCAAAATGGCAACAATTTTCAGAGCACAGAAAGACTCCAGAAACTCATATAGGAAGGCAACTAAAATGGCCAAACCAATCACCCTGTACATCCAAGAAAGAGA